TTATGGGCTCTCATGCTGATGTTTCCTTAAGTTTCAGAAGAGGTTTTGGACTTTGACTTTTGGGGAATACTGGAACTGTTAAGAACATGTGGACTCCTGGATATGAACTCAATGTATTTTGCATCATGAGATGGACATGAACTTTTGTGGGGGCAAGGGCACAATGTTATGGTTTAGATATGAAGTGTTACTCTAAAGCTCATGTATGAGAAAAGGCAAGAAAGATTTAAAAGTGAAATTATTTGGTTATGAGAGCCTTAACCTAGTGAGTGCATTAATCCACTGATAGTGTTGAACTGGATGGTAACTGTAGGAAGGTAGTGTGTAGCTGGAGAAGGTGGGTCACTGGGGGCATTTCTTTGGAGTGTATATTTGTCTCTGGTAAGCAGAACTCTCTATCTGCTTCCTCTTTGCTATGTCTTGATTTGCTTCCTACCTCTGTACCATTTGGGCAAGAGCCATGGAGTTGGTCTTCTATGGACTGAGACCTGGAAAATATAAGTGTCAAATAAAATTTTCATTCTCTAAAAATTGTTCTTGTCAGGAATTTTAGACACAATGGCAAAAAAGCTTACTAAAACAATACTGTACTATATAGAAATAATAGTGGCCCTTTGGCCTCTTATATCAATAATATAGCATCTAAAATTAATAGTTACCCTGTGGTGTTTAATCATATTATGATATAAATAGTATAGCATCCAAAACTAAGATAATACCTTCAATGGCTTTTAATACTACTATGATATCCATAATATTGCAACTAAAACTAATATTATAGCTTCCTTGTGGCCTTTAATAATGTAATATCAATAATGTGGTCACAGGGTAGCTATTAGCTTTATAGATAACTGTATGGATATTAATATTAAATGTAAGGAAAATAAAAAGAAAGAGAGAAGATGCAAAGTCAGAAAGACAGAATGGCAGAATGGTCACGCTGCCAGCTTTATTTATATCAATAGGTTGTATTTGGTCATTGGCATTAGTAATATACTATTGTTTATTGTGTCATTTGGAAGGTTATAGAGTCAGCAACGTTATACAGCTTATTCCTCAGTTACATTCTACAGTTACAATATGCAATGTTAGAAGATTTGTGTAGCTATCAAGAAAGTTTATTGTTTACAGTTACTGTTAGGTGGGCAGGTCCAGGAGCATGGGAGCTTGGTGAAACATTTTTATTGTATAACAAGAGTGTTTCTTTATTCCCAGGACCTGTGTGCCTGTGATCAAGGTCAAAGCTGATAAGACTCTAGCACAAAGCCTTCTAATGCAGGGCATTGCTACAGCTTGTAGGCATCCCGTGTCTTTGCACAGAAGTTTTCCTAGCATCCAGACATTCCTCGTCTTGGCACAGAAACTTACTAGCCACCAAGCATGCCACATTCATGAAGCCATCAGAGACCCCAGTCCCAAACACTGAACCCTTGTGGGCCAAAGGGAAGCTTTAAGGCCAAAGGAAAGCTGTTATATCAGTTTTACATGCTATAATGTGGATATAATATTAGTTTTAAAACTGAAGAGCTGCCTGTGACCTTTTAATACAAACATGTCATCCATACTATGAAATTGTAATGGATATAATATCTCCCCTGTGAACTTTATAACTAATATGGTATCCATATTATGGCATCAAAAACTGACATAGTAGCTGAAATGTGTAATTTAGTATTATATCCATACTGTGGACCTAAAACTAATCACATACCTTTCCTGTGGCCTTTCATATTAATACAATGTCCATATTATAGCATCTAAAACTAATATAATAGCTGTCCTGTGGCTTTTAGTACTAATATGATATCCATATTATAACATTTGCCAAGGTCTGTTAATATTAGTATGATATTGATAAACTAGTACCTAAAACTAATAAAATATTTGCCCGTGGGCTTTAATACTTTTTAAAATTTAATATATTTAAATATATATATTAAATATATATATTCATATATACCATCTAAAAACAGTATATTAGCTTCCCTATGGCCTTAAATATTAATATAATATTCATACTGTGACATATGAAACTAATATAATAGCTACACTGAATTTTTTAAAAAAAATATTGTTTTAGTTGTATATGGAAACAATACCTTTTTTTTTTTTTAATGTGGTGCTGAGGATTTAACTCAGTGCCTCACATGTGCTAGGCAGGCACTCTACAAATGAGCCACAGATGAAACATGTATATATCTTTGAAAGACCATTATTCTGCTTATCACAATTAGTAATTTACTAATTGACATTGGCACACATTCATAAATCCTAGGGACGTGGGAAGTTGAGGCAAGTGGATCAAAAGTTTGAGGAGAGCCTGGGACACTTAGCCAGACCCTGGGTTTCAAAATAAAACAGAGGGCTGGGGATGTAGCTCAGTGGCCCACATCCCTGGGCTCACACCTCAGTACCACAACACACACACACACACACACACACACACACACACACACACACACTTATAAATGCATTACAAGTTAACAAGCTGAATACAGAGCTATGGAGAGGGGAGCAGGATCCATGCACAGAGGGTGGCAGTGCTAAAGCCCCATAGTGCTTTCCAACCCTGAAAGCACCAGCTCCTCGCTGCCCGTCTGGTGGGAACCAGGACAGCACTGCCACCGCCTGGCACAGGGGGGAAACTACAGCTCAGAGTTGTTAAGTCACATAGCCAAATCATGCAGGCTTGGGCCAGGGTGCAGCGGAATTAGAACTCAGAAATCACGACCTGGAATGCAGCCCTTTCTCCCATTCCAGCGCCCTGGATTGACTTTATGGAGCCTGGAGGGCACTAGCCCTTCCCAGGTGTGGCTTCAGGGGTTCCGGGTCTCCACGCTCTGCTGCCAAAAAGGTCTTCTGTTTGTGTCACCCATAGGAGGTACCTGCGGACAGAAGCCAGGTTGTAGTTTCTGAAAGGTGCTTGGTTTATCCTGCAGTGGAAACTGTGGGCCTGGCATCCGCACACCACGGCTCTGCCCTTTCTCCTCCAGGCTCCCCAGCCCGAGGAGGCGCTCACCTGTTCTGCTCCACTCCCACAGAGATGCCACCAGTCCCCAGGAGGCAGGGACACTCTGCTCACCCAGAGGAGACCTGCAGGATTTTGGTGGGTTGGAGCTACAGTTGCTAACCTCAGGGCCACTATGGCTCAATGAAAATGAAGGGAAAAGTTAATTGGAACAACACATAACACCTCTGCAGCCTCTGGACACAGAGAAAGTTGCTCAGATGGCAGAGTGTGCAAACCCCAACAACTGCTAAACCATCCTTTTAGATCAAAACATGGGATGATGGGCTGTATTTTAGCTAAAATATGCAAATGTATGTTGAATAACCAGAACAGTGAATTTCAGAGGTTGTGCATCAGGACCAGGTAGTGGAATAGCTCTCTTCGCAACATTAAACAAGCTAATCAATCAACAGAATCCAAGCTCAGGATGCATTTGCAACCTGGGAAAGAGATGAAATTAAAAGTTGGGACGGAGGTATGAAGCTGTAGCATAATGTCCTCTAAGCTAATCAGAGGTGAGACATAGGGGCCCTAATGACAACCACCTCCAGGTTCTCCCCTAGATGTGGTTCTGTGGGGATCCTGAAGTTGCCTCCATGTTTTTCTGTTGTTCCCCAGGAAGCTCCTATGAACAAAGATGCAGGCCTGGGTTGTTGTGCTTGCATTTTTCTGAGTTTACCGCCCACATCCAGAACTTTTTAATCTCTTTCCATAGGCAGTAACTGCATACTGAGCCTGAGTTTATCAGCTGCATTTACAGGTGTTTCTATTCAGAATTCACTTTTCCCTCTGTGAGGTGTGAAAAGGTAAAGGCAGTCCAGAGTAGAGACCTGGGGGAGCTCAGAGACACCAGGGCCTCCATGGCATGGATTCATAGCAGTTATGCTATTTGTTCACCCATTGAAGCACATCCTGATTGCTTAAGGTATTGGGGCATTGTGAATAGAACTACTATATGTAATGGTGTGCTGTATTCTCGATATACATTTTTGAGGCAGTTGTCTATATTTTTAGGACCATGTGGTGAAACCATGTCTAACTTTGGGGAAAATGCCCAGTTTTTTGATAGTGTTGAACTGTTGTGTGCTCTTCCAGCAACGCACAAGAGTGCCTGTGGCTGTTCATCATCCTCATGGTTGATACTACACTTACTAAAGACCTTAGCAGCTCAGTAGGTGTGCAGTGCACTTGGGGTCTTAGTTTGTGCTTTCCTCATGACAGGTGATACTAAGAATCATTTCTATGCTTCTTTACCATCTTGTATCTTTCTTGTGAGTTGTCTGTTCATATCTTTACCCATTATGTTGTCTTATTGTTGAGTGTCTTACTATATTTTTTACACAAGTTTGTTTTAGACATATACTTTCCAAAGATTCCCCCAGTGTTTGACTTGTCTTTTCATTTCCTTAATATGATTTTTTTTTACAGAGGAATTTAATACAGTCCACATTATCAGGTTTTTCTTTCATGGATTTCTTGTTGTTATTGTTTGTTTGTTTGATAGCAGGGATTGAACCCAGGGTGCTTAACCACTGAGCCACATCCATAGCTTTCATGGAATTTGGGGGTGGGTTGTATTTAGAACCTCATCATGAAACATGTGGTCATGCACATCTTCTAGAGTTTTACAGTTTTCCATTTTAAATGAAAATCTAGAGAGTAGTTTGATAGGTTCTGGCATCCATATGTGTGGCTTCTTGAAGTGTGTGTCCTTTTGAAGTCAGTGATGTCTAGTCTAGGTTTAAAAAGAGCGTGGTGGGAATTTCTGGAATGCACTGAATCTTCAGATCAGGTTTGAGGTAGTTTCATCTTAATTATATTGAGACCTGAACAAAGACTATCTCTGTATTTATTTATATTTCATTTGATTTCTATATAAACATTTCAAGAATTTCTGAAGTATGATTGTACTTTAATACTTACATGTAAATACTTCAAATTTGGGGTCTCTATTTTAAATATTAATGCTTTAAATTTTTTCTTATTCCAGTTTATATATTTCACTATTTCCCCTACATGATGGCTGAAATATAGGAAATCAATGAAATTTTGTCTATGGGCCATGTACTTTGCTGCTTGCTATCTCCATCCATTCTGATCAAGACATAGGAGGTAGGCTCTATTTCTTTTCAATTTCCAAAATCATGACCTGGAATAGTCAGAACTATGAATTTAAGAGCTTCATTGTGCCTAGCACAAGGGGGTGCAGCTCTGAACAGTGAACACCCAGCATCCTGCACTGCCCCCAGTGGCCAGCAGGGGGCACTCAGAACAACTTTCTCTGATCAACTGCTTTTGGGGGCTGTGTTCTGTGCCCTAATCAAACTTCCTTCTCCTGGGGACCCACCTGAGAGATGCCACATCTAGGGACTCCTAGAGGCTCTATCTAAGGTGTAGACCAGAGGTTTTTTTCTTTTCTTTTTTTTAATCCTGGGGAGACACTGGAAAGATACCATGGACTAGGGATGCCTGGTGGATATGTCTGTGGTGAGGACCAGAGCTTCCTTCTCCTTGGCACCTACCCATGGAGGCTCCACTGTGGATTCAGGATGCCTGAGGTTCATGTGAGGAAAACATGAGGAAGAAGTTTCCTGTTCACTGCCTGATGGGCTGAGAAGTAAGTTCTGCCATGTTCTTTACTTTCTCAGGTAATATTTTAGGAGAACTTATTTTACAACAGTATTTCTTACTGAGGCTTTGGCTGCTCATTATCATGGTATGTCAATGTATTTTGTATGGCTTGAGTGTCTGAGGACACAAATGCCCCCTCAAGATGGTGCAGGGAGGGCCCAGTGCCTGGAATCTCACTGGGGCCTGAGGGTAAGGGCTCATGAAAATGCAGCAAGAAGCTCTCAGGAGCCTCTAGGATGAGAGATGCAAAGATTATGATGGATTGCACTACCCAGAATCCTGGGTAACTGTAGAATCCTCATTGCAGTTACCAGAGCCTTCTGCAGGGAGGGCAGCATGGGTCAAATGACAGACTGTGCTACCCATAATTCTTGGGGACCTGCAGCTTGCATAGACCTCTGCAGAGAGGGCTGTACTGACAAAAAATCAAACTATGCTGCCAATTACTTTTGGGTGCCTGCTCTGCCCAGGAGCCTCTGGGGGTGAGAATTGTAAGGGCAGAATACCAGACTTCAATGCTCAGAATATCTGGGGATGCCTACATACCCTGTAACCCTGTAAGTCCCAGAGGATTTGGTGGTGATGGTTTTGTTGGTAGAGCTCACATCCTAGAATCTCCAGGGTCCCAGGGAAAGCATGGGGTCTTCAGCCCCTGTGATCCTCAGCAGGACTGTGCAGGCCAAACACTAGACTGCATTATTAGAACCCTCAGGGACTGCAGCTTCCAGAATCCTCTGTGGTGAGGGGCAAACCACTGAACTGCATTACCCACAATCCTAAGGGGGAACTTTAGTTTCAGAATTTTCTGCAGTGAGTAGGAAAAACACAGGACTAAATTACCCACAAATCTCAGTGCCAGCAGCTGTCAGGATCCTCCATTGTGAGGACTGTTGGACTGAGAGCTTAACTACAGTATCCAGAATCCTTGGTGGGGTGTGTTGCCCGTTAGTATGCAGCCTGCAACTCCCTGAGGCCTCCCAAGTGAGAGCTCTGCATTATGCAGGTCAGACTACACTACCTAAAATTCCTGGGGACACACTGGTGAGTGTGCCACCTGCAATTCCAGGAGGCTTCCACAGTGAGGTCTTCAGTCCCAAGACAAGCATGTGGCCTTCAGTTCTCATGGCCCTTGCAGTAGGGGCATGTAGGCAAAACACTGGACTACCTTATCCAGAGTCCTCAGGGGGAATTGCAGTTCCCAGGATCTGCAATAGTGAGGGCTTCAGGGTAGGGAGCTGAACTATACTACCTAGAATTCTTGGAGGTGCCCCGTGTCCATGTGGCCTGGAACTCTCAGAGGCTTCCACACTGAGGGCTATGGAGGTAGAGGGCAAAACTATACTACCCAGAATCCCTGGGGGCCTGCAACTCCCAGACACCTTCCTTTTGAGTACCGCCAGGGCAAGCTTTGTATTGCACTACACAGACTCCTCAGGGGTGTCTAGGTAGGCTTGTGCTACAAAGATCCCAGAGCCATGATGGGGGTGAAGTCCACATAGGTAGGATGGATTGCACGACCCAGAATAATCATGGCCCACAGCTCTCAGTGACCTCTGCGGTCAGAGCTGACTGAGTAGAACTGATTACAATACTCAGAATTCCTGGAGGCTCCGAGCTCTAGGTAGTCACTGTACAGTTGAACATAGCCCCAGGCTATAATACCCATGATCCTTGGGGGCTTGCAGCTCCCAGAATCCACTGTAGTGATGCTGCATGGACAGAACACCAGAATACACTGTCTAGAATCCCTAGGGATGCCTGAGTGAGTGTGTAGCCTGCAATTTCTAGAGGCCTCTGCAGTGGGGGCTGCATTGTAGAAGACTGGATTACACTACCCAGAATCCTGGGTGGGGGTATGAGGGTGAATGTGCTACTTGAAACCCCCATAGACCTCTGAAGTGAGGGCTGAGTGGGCACAATGCCAGTCTACACTGTTCAGAATCGCTAGGGGTGCCTGAGTAGCCTGCAGCTCACAGCGACCTCTGCAGCTGGCCTGCAATGTGGAATACAAGACTGCACTACCCAGAATCCTAGTGGTATGAGGGTGAATGTGCTACTTGCAACCCCTAGGCTTCTGGGGTGAGGGCTGCATGGGTAGAACACCAGAGTCCACTGCCAGGGTTCTCCAGGGTGTCTGGGCCAGCACATGGCACACAGCTTCCATGGTCCTGAAGGCAAAGACTGTGTGAGCAGAGCACCAGACTACACTGTCCAGAAACCCTGAGAACCCTGAATCTGTGTAGCCTGAAGCTCCCAGAGGCATCCATGGTGAGAGCTGGACAGGCAGGACAGACTGAATGTTCTAGAATGCTGTCATAGGCTACTGGTAATTTGGTCTGAGCTCAGGTTCTTCTACCCTCCTACAGTGGTCACCCTGGGCTGGGAATTAACAGATTTTCTTAAAACCCCTGATTCTGAATTGGAGCAGTCCCTGGCTAAGTCACTCTGTCTCAAAGACTACACATCCCAGAAGCCTCTGAGGTGGTCTGTTTCTGGCCTCTGCCCTTGGGCTTAGGGTCTAGACTCCCTGTAGCTGCCTCCCTCTGTGCCTCTGCCTGCCTGTCTCAGGCTGCTGCAGCACTTGGCCTGGTAGAGTGCAGGGAGGGGGTCTCCTGGACTCCATTTCTCCTCTTCTGAGATTTCACTCCTCAGGTGCCACAGCCAGACCTAGTTAGAGCAGTGGGAACATATTTTATTCATTAACTGCTGAGGGTGGAAGAAGGTGCTGACATTCACCAGGGAGCCAGGACAGGCCCTGCCTCTGAGCTGGGAGGAGCTCCTGTACAGCGCATGGCCAAAGGGGCGTGGTCAATAAGGGGCAGGGCCTTGCCGCCATCTTTAATGCTGCCTCCTTGAGAATGAGGAGCTGACTTCCCTCTCAGGACCAACCCGGGAGAGCCCCAGTCCTGGGAGTGTTGGGTCACTCCACAGGGAGTGGCAGAGCCCCCTTCTCAGAGCAGATTGAGAGAGACACCCAGGTTGTGGACTCTCATGGGTCATGCCTCCAGGGGCTCACGGAGCTCCCTTCTCAGAGCAGCCTCAGCGTGTGGATTCTTGGCTTAGGGACTTTCGTGAGTCTTGTCTCTGGGGATGCCCGGGGTTCCCTTCTCCTCAGCAGCCTGAGAGAGACACTTGGTGTGGGGACCCTTGTGGGCCACATCTCTAGGGGTGCCTGGGGCTCCCTTCAACTCAGAGTGGCCTGAGGGAGACGCCTGGTGCGGGCACCCTCTTGTGTCATGTCTCTAGGGACGCCCAGGGTTCTGTTCTCCTCAGAGTAGCCTGAGGTAGATGCCTGGTGTGGGGACCATTTTGGGTCACATTCTAGGGACACTGGGGGGCTCCCTCACCCTTACAGCAGCCTGAGGGAGATGCCAGGCCTGAGGAGCCTTGGGGGTCATGTCTCTAATTAGGCTGGGGGTTCCCTTCTCCTCTGAGCGGCCTGGGGCAGACGCTAGGGTTGTTGTGCGCCAGGGTTGCTGTGCGTGGTCGAAGGGGGCATGGCCAGCCAGGGGCGGGGCCTCAGCGCCATCTTTAAGGCCGCCTCCTTGAGAGTGAGGAGCTGGCTCCTCCCTCAGGACTAATCCAGGAGAGTCCCAGTCCTTGGAGTATTGGGTCACTCCACAGGGAGGGGCAGAGCTCCCTTCTCAGAGCTGATTGAGAGAGACACCCAGGTTGCGGACTCTTATGGGTCATGCCTCCAGGGACTCACGGAACTCTCTTCTCCTCAGAACAGTCTCAGTGGACTCTTGGCTTAGGAACTTTTGTGAGTCATGTCTCTAGGGATGCCTGGGGTTCTCTTCTCAGAGCAGCCTGAGGGAGACGCCTGGTTTGGGGACCCTCTTGGGTCACATTCTAGGGACACTGCAGGGCAGCCTCATCCTTACTGCAGCCTGAGGGATATGCCAGGCCTGGGGAGCCTCCTGGGTCACGTCTCTAAGTAGCCCCGGTTTCCCTTCTCCTCAGAGCTGCCTGGGGGGGTTGCCAGGGTTGCTGTGCTTGGCCAAAGGGGGCGTGGTCAATAAGGGGTGGGGCCTCGCCGCCATCTTTAATGCTGCCTTTTTGAAAGTGAGGAGCCTGCTTCCCCCTCAGGACCAACCCGGGAGAGCCCCATTCCTGGGAGTGTTGGGTCACTCCACTTGGAGGGGCAGAGCTCCCTTCTCAGAGCAGATTGAGAGAGACCCAGGTTGGGGACTCTGGTGGGTCATGCCTCCAGGGGCTCAGGGAGCTCACTTCTCAGAGCAGCCTCAGCGCGGACTCTTGGCTTAGGGACTTTTGTGAGTCATGTCTTAGGGATGCCTGGGGTTCCCTTCTCCTAACATTGGCCTGAGGGAGACGCCAGATGTGGGGAGCCTTGTGGGTAACAACTCTATGTAGGCCCTGGCTTTTCTTCTCCTCAGAATGGCCTGAGGGAGATGCCTGGTGTGTGGACCCTCGTGGTTTATGTCTCTTTGGATGCCTGGGGTTCCCTTCTCCTCTGAATAGCCTGGGGAAGATGCCTGGCTTGGGGACCCTCATGGGTTATATTTTTAGAGAAGTCTGGGGTTTTCTGCTCAGAGCAGCCTGAGGAGATGCGTAGCATGGGGACCCTCATGGGTCATGTCTCTAGGGACACCTGTGATTCCCTTTTCCTTAGAGCAGCCTCAGAGAGATGGCTCAGAAGCTTCTGGCAGGTCTGGCAGCTGGTGAGGGGATGGTGGGAAGCATGAGAAGCAAACCCTGTCCTGGACCTGAGAGCTGAGGGCATCCTTGGCTGTCAGCCCCTCTCTGTCCTTCACAATTTCATCCTGGCTCCCTGTGCAGCAGTGACCCTTCCTTAGGCTATGACCCTCATCATCTTAATATAGTGACCCAGGGTGGTTTCTAGGGAACCTGGCTGGAGAGGAAGGAGGAATGTGTAGGGAGGGAGGAATGTACAGCCTAAGGGAAGGGGACCCCAGTCCACTTCCTTGTTTTCCTTAGTGTTTAAATGGTTTGCTTTTTCTTGCAGTGTTAAAATAGTAGAAAAAAATTGAAAAGTACATATGTTAACAGCCCACTATGTCATTTTAAAAAACTTTTTTAATTTTTGTTTTTGGGTACTGGGGATTGAACTCAGTACTTATCTTTTTTTTTTGTTGTTGTTGTTGTTGCATGTGATCACTGAGCCATATCTCCAGCCCTATTTTGTATTATAGAGACAGGGTTTTACTGAGGTGCTTCATGCCTTGCTTTTGCTGAGGCTGGTTTTGAAGTTGAGATCCTTCTGCCTCAGCCTTTTGAGCCTCTTGAGTTTAAACATATTACTTCTAACAAAGCCAGAATTTATTAAAAATACATCTCATGTTTTTTGTGGAACCGAACTCATGAACCACATTTTTCTTTTTCTTTAATCTCTGCTTACTTTTTTTTTTTCAATTTTTTTTTAGTTGTAGAAGGGCACAATACATTTATTTTATTTATTTATTTTTATGTGGTGGTGAGGATCAAAACCAGTGCCTCACACATGCTAGGCAAGCCCTCTACCACTGAGCTACCACAGCCACAAGTTTTTCTTTTGGTGGAGAGTTTAATTAGCAAGAAGCCACCCCTCCAGGACCCTCTTGCTAAGGCCTTCCCCTCCAGACCCTGCCTCTCCTCTATACCCCACCTATATTCTATGGCCCTGCTTGTCCTCCTGAACCACCCTTCCCCCTCTTTCCTACCCTGCCTCTCCTCTAGGTCCTACTCATGTTCCAGGGCCTGTCCCTTCCTCAGGTCCCACCCCTCTGTGAAGCCCTGCCCCCATGTGACTCATTCTCCCCCTCCTTCAGACCCTGTCTCTCCTCCAGATCTTTGCCTTCTTCCTGTCCTGCCCCTCCTGCAGACCTAACCCCTCCTCTTTAAAAATTTTTTTGTTGTTGCACATGGACACAATGCCTTTATTTTGTTTATTTATTTTTATGTGGTGCTTAGGTTTGAACCCAGTGCCTCACACATGCTAGGCAAGTGCTCTACCACTGAGCCATAACCCCAGCCCAACCCTCCTCCTCTTTAAGACCCTGACTCTTCTCCAGACCCCACTTATCTTCCAGGTTCCCCCCTCCTCCTGACCTTCCGTCCCCCTCCTCTAGACTCTGCCCCTGCTAGTCTAGGATGAGCAGCTCCCTGGCTGTTGTGCTAATTGGCATTATATTTTTAATGGTGCACAAATAACATCTGTTGTATAAACACTGACATCCTGCATTGGATGAATTATCTTGACTAGTATCAAAATTTGACATACCATAAAATAAATTTAGAAAAGTCACCTTTCTCTCTCTTTTATTCTCTATAGATCATGAACATTTGAAATAAAATCAGAATTTGTTAAAGGGCAGATGACAGCCAGCCTTGAGCCCTGATGATCCCAGGATCCCATCCAGTGGGAGAACTCTAAGTATCAGTCCAAGCTTTTGTATGCTAATTGATTTATTTTTCTTATTTTAGAGTTATTTTGCTATGTAATTCCCCATGGCCTTTGGTTCTGTGTAATAGGTTTTTGCTATTCAATTTTTAATTAATATTCTTTCAATTTTCTACAGAATTTTAAAAATATTTTTTTAGTTGTCAGTGGATCTTTTTATTTTATTTATTTATTTTGTTTATTTATATGTGGTACTGAGGATTGAACCCAGGGCCTAACACATGCCAGGCAAATGCTCTGCCTTTGCGCCACAACTCTAGCCCTGTTTAGGATTTTTAATTCTGTGAACTTCTATTTTTTATTCATTTTCTATTTGATTACACCAATAAGGAATATTTTAATAATTTCTTTTAGCTTACTTTGTTTTTGATTGAGAGAATTGTTTTGTTAGAGAGAATTGTCTTGTTTGGAAAGGCTCATAATCAAATGATTTTAATTAATTTCCATTTATTAAGACATGTTTGAGACTGGGTGTGCACCTCAGTGGCAGAGCACTTGCCTGGCATGTGAGAGGCCATGGAGTCCATCCCAGCACCACACACACAGAAGATGTCTTTGACAGGACTCAAGCATGAGAGATAGTTTCAAAAGATCATGTATTGGGGCTGGGATTGTGACTCAGCAGTAGAGCACTCGACTAGTATGTGCAAGGCCATGGGTTTGATCCTCGGCACCACATAAAAATAAGTAAATAAAACAAAGGTATTGTGTTGAACTACAACTAAAAATAAATAAAAAAATTTTAAAAAAGATCATGTATTTACACATATACACATATACCAAAGTGCCTCTTCCAATTATTCTAAGAAAATTTCAAATCAGTTTTAAAAGAGAAGAGGGATGATGATATTTTTAATGTTAACTATTGATATTTCATGATATTTAAAACCACTATAGATGAAATCTCCTGAGATGCAAATCATTACAAAATGTAAGAGACAAGTCAGTAGCTGCTTTTTTGTAATTCAGATACATTTACTAAAAATAAGCTTTTTAAAAAACAGATATTTTCTTCTTTTCAAATTTAGAAAGCATTTCCATATGTCCTATTAAAGTTCTATATTCATCAGAAAGTTCTCTTATTCCTTGCATACAAAGGGATGGGCCTTCTAATGAGCATGATACTTTATGTTGTCAGAAATTCTTGTGGGAGAACTCTTTAAGTGTTTTGCCTCTGTTCAAAATATTATTTAAAAATGTATCAATTTGCTTTTGATTTCAGAAATTTGTCTTTTTTTTGAAATTATGTATTTATTAGTATTTAGGGGTATTTCATGTAGGAAATGCCATGATTACATTGTATCCTAATGTTGGTGCCCCTGTGTGCTTATAAGGTGGCTTTCAGAATGCAGTTGAGTATCTCTCTCATATTTGTTGGATTCATTAGAAAAGTACATGCACTTTTGATCATATTTAAATGGTTTCATTTGAATTATTAGAAGCAGAAATCAGACATGTTAGTGTTGTGAGCTGAACAAAGTGCAGGTTTACTTTAATCATTTTGAGGAGGTTGACATAATGGCTTCTGCCTTGTTCTGTACCTTCCATAGTTGTCAGATGTCTCACCTGGAGAATTTTTTTTTTGGCACTGGGGATTAAACCCAGGGCCTTGCTTGTGCTATGCAAGCCCTGAACTACCTATGTCCCCAGTCTTTGTTACAATTTCATTTTGAGACAGGGTCTAGCTGAATTGCTAGTGTCAGCCTCAAATTTGTGATCCTTCTGCTTTATCCTCCCAAATAGCTGAGATGACAGGCATGAGTCAAAGTGTCTGGCTTGTCCTGGAGGATTTTGATGTCAGTATCATATGTTTCCAATGTGTTAATAATTTCTAAGCTAGATTATGTTCATTTTTCTTATCAACAGTCAATAAAGCCTTTTTGTTGTTTTTTGATGGTATGCTTAATGTGAACATGGTTTATGACGTGACACCACTGTTTATGGTGATCTAGCTATGAAATACATTGTAAGGAGAGTATTTTGATTCTGAGAGTCTCAAGTGTTTTAGGTCCAACATGTTTCCTTTAGAGGAGTGATTATTCATTTTCTATTTGATTACAAAAAATAAGACACAAATTCTTTTTTTTTTTTTTTTTTTGTGGTTCCAGGTGTTGGTCCTAGGGACTCCTGCATGCTAGGAAATCTTTCTACATCCCCAGCTCCATAGATTCTTTAGTTGTCATTAGCTTCATGATGAGCTAGTGACAATAAAATTACTTAGAAGTTCAACTAGATTTAGACTCATACAAGAGTGTGGACATCCATAGCTCCTTGTGATTTCTAAAAGGTAGAGTGTTTTCTCACAACACAGCAGCATGTAATATAATTTCTGGACCAAGCTGACACCTCTGCTTCTCTTGGCTCACCACTTCCTGCAGAGTTCTTGGAGGAGATGACTATTTCTTTGACTATTTGTCCCAGTCACAAATATTTGATTATATTGCTGCTAAAAAGGTATGCATAGAAATAAAATAGAGACAAGGATTCTTTGGGATAAATGATTCAGTCACAGTGAGTCAATTTCCATTAGGACTTTTTTTTATATAAAGTCACTCTTTCAGGAAAGTTAAACCAGGAGTTGAAATAGAATCTCTAAAATGTCATTTTTTCTCCTCTAGTGATAAAGTTTTAAGAAGGCAAACCTAGAACCTAGTGAAAGCGTAAAAATATAAGGAGTTTACTTATGTTATTACTTCAACATGAAATATGTAAAAGAAGCACATACTTTGAATTTTATATTAGTTTGAACTATTTGATTTTTGTGTTATGAATGTTCATAATAAAATACAGAACTAGCTAAGAGTGTCAATTACCAGTAATTAACTGTATGAATAATTAAACAAGTAAGTGTTTGAGAAAATATAACCATGTCCTAAGGTTTTACTTTAGAGTAGTTTAATGTTTTTTTTTTTGGTGTGGAAGTACTGGGGATTGAATCCAGGGGCGCTTAATCATTGAGCCACATCCCCAGCCCTTTTTTATATTTTATTTAGAGGCAGGGTCTCACAGAGTTACTTAAGGCCTCACTAAGTTGCTGAGGCTGGCTTTGAACTCGAAATCCTCCTGCCTCAGCCTCCCAAGATGCTGAGATTACAGGCATGTGCCACCATGCCAGGCTTAGTTTTATTTTTATACAGAAATTGAAAAGAAAGTGCAGAGATTTCCCAGGTAGCCTCAACCTGGTTTCTTCCCTTGTTATGACTTAGGTGAGCTGTCTCTAAAGTGTTAACATCTTAGACCATTTGTCATGAAGAAAAAATAATGGTATGTTAACATTAACTGAAGTCACATATCCTTTGGATTCTCAGTTCTGTGTCTTCCTGTTCTAGGATCCCATCTAGGAGCCAACATGACATCCAGTCATCATGTCTCCATAGACTTCTCTTGGGGTGACAGTTTCTATGAACTTCCTTGTTCTGATGACCTTGAGAGCATTGAGGACGACTTGTCAGGTATTTTTATAATTTTTTTTTGAATCTTCCTTTTTTTCATATTTAAACTGGGGTTTGTGGGTCTGGGGGAGGCAGGTCACAGAGGTGAAGAGCTGCTCTGTCATCTCTTGTCCTTATTGTCCTATTAGTATTGACTGTGCTCACCTGGCTGAGGCAGTGTCTTTCAGGTTTCCTTGTGTTTCTCATATTTAGCCTGGGGCTATTGGACTGGGGGAAGCTGGTCACTGAGATGAAAAGCAGCTCTATCATCTCATGCCCTCAAGGTGAAATGGTAGTATTGATTGTGCTCACCTGCTTGAGGAAGGGCTTTTCAGGTTTCTTACTGTGAAGTTACTCTTTTTTTGCATGTCCACATTGTCTGTTCTTCGGGAGGAAGTCGTAATGCAGAGCCCACGCTTAGGGATCAGAGAGTTAGCTCTACCTCCTTGATGACTGTGTCTCTCTCAATTCTATAGAATTCTTCTGCACAAGAGGTTTCTACTCAACCTCATTTGTTTGTGTATTCAGTCATTTATATATATCAGTCATCTGGATAATTTGCTTAAGCTGATTTTTGTCCCCCCCCCCCTTTTTAAAAAATACTTTCCTGCTCAATTTATCCCTACTTTAACCATTGGGAATTCTTTCCATTCTCTCCTGTTGTCCTTTAACATATTTTCTGGTTTTGTCCCAAAGTTTTTTCTTTCTGATATTTAAATTACCCTGACTTATATATTTACTGTCTTACTTTTAGTATCAGCCATTTCTTCAAAGAGTCATGGCTCCTTGATTGGAGAGTGATATTAAAATCTTTCATCTGGCAGGGGCTGGGGTTGTGACTCAGTGGCAGTGTACTCATCTGGCATGTGTGAGGCACTGGGTTCGATCCTCAGCACCACATAAAAATAAACAAATAAAATAAAAGTCTTTAAACAGTGTATAAAAAATATTTCATCTTGATCCACACAACTGACAATGCAAAGAAGTTTATGTGTATTCTAATCTTTTCATACCCCCTAGTTATAACTATGTTTATGTGGAACCATCTGTGAATGTATTAAGCAAAATGTGAGTTTATACTGATCTGCAATCAGTGGATTCTGACCCATTATGACATAGATCCCTCTGCCTTCACCCCTTGTTTATCATAACTTCTCACCCCATCAGTGGGAAATCTAGCTCCCAGTTTCTGCCATATAATTAATTCATTGTTCCATTATGAGCAATGAATTCATTATTGCTCCAGATTATGGGCTGTGACATAATAAGAAATACACATTCAGCCTCTGCACCCAGTTCCTGGTGCAGCACTCCTAAAATCTTCATATTTGCTGAGTGACAGAGGTGTTTGGAGCATTTTTTTGTCCTAATATTGATTCTTTTACCTTGGTTATTTGCACAGAGCTCCTAAATCCTGCAGAATCTCCTGGGGGCCTAGGAGGGGCTTGTGCTTTAATAAGGACTTTTGGTGGGCTCTAGGGAAGCTTCAGGATGGAGGATGGTCATGAGAAAAACCACAGGAAGGGTGGTGCACCGCAACTCCATGTAGATGGAGACTCCTGTGCTGGGAGGCACCTGGGCCTCATCCTGCACAAGTCTTCCTCTGTAATTTTGTCTTTTCTAGAATGTCATAAAAGGTAAACCATACAGCATGTAGCCTCTTCAGCCTGGCTTATTTCACTTAGTGTACCAGGTAGAATTTATCTATTTCTCTGTGTAGGGTGGTAGTTCATTCCTTTATATTCTGTGTTGGTTATGCATTCAGGTATGGGAGGACATTTTTTTTTGAATTTTAATATTCATTTTTTAGTTTTCGGCGGACACAACATCTTTGTTTGTATGTGGTGCTGAGGATCGAACCTGGGCTGCATGTATGCCAAGCGAGCACGCTACCACTTGAGCCACATCCCCAGCCCTGGGAGGACATTCTTATTTATGATCTGATCAGCATCATAGAGCTGCTATTCATAATTACATGCTAGTTTTGTTTTGACATAGTTTTTCAAAGAATTTCTCTAAAAGAAGATGATTTATAGGGACACTACTGGGTTATAGATTGGACTTTTTTGCTTTGGGAAGAACTGGCACATCATCTTCCAAAATGGCCATGCCACATGTTCTCCTAGTAATGCCTGAGACTGCTGGTATCTCACATCCTGCAGCTGTTGGTGCACTGCTGTTTCTTTAGTTCAGTAGTTCTAAAAGATGTGCCATACTACCTCACTATTGTTTTAATTTATGATTCCCTGATGATATGGGATGCTGAGCATCATTTTGTATAACTATGTGCCATCTTTTACAGAGTAGGAAAAAAGTGTGTGTGTGTGTGTGTGTGTCTGTGTGTGTGCATGTGTGCATGTATGAGTGTGTGTGTGTGTGGTGCTGGGGATTGTACCACAGGCCTCACATAAACTAGGCAAGTGCTCTACCACTGAGCTAATCCCATCCTTTAAAAAATTTCCTAGGCTGGGCTCAAGTTTGCAATCTTCCTGCCTCAACCTTTTCAGTAATTGGGGTTGTTGGCATGCAACAGTGCACTTCGTAAAAAATTGAACTTTATAAAGTCCATGTTATTGGTATTTTTTTTCAGTCAGTTGGTATTTGGTATTGTGAGTTAAATCTCATCAGCAAGGACTGGCGATGTAGCTCAGTATTAGAAAGTTTGTACAGCAAGTGTGAGGCCCTACATTCAAACCCCCCAGAAACAAATATACACTACCATTACTAAATCTAAGATTACATAGATTTTCTTATTTCTTTCCAGATTTTTTTTAGTTTTATCACATTTTAGTTGTGGACTATTATGAGTTAATTTTTGTAGGAGTTTCTGTTTGTGTCTACATTCATTTCACTTAATAAGGTTTGAATAATTTGTTCAATCACCATTTCTTAAAAAACAAGGATACTGGGTTTCATTTTAGTTTGAATTTCCAAAATCATGGCCTTGAGTAATCTAGATACAGTACTGAATTTCATCCATTTCTCAGGAATGTCATGGGGTGCCCATATACCACTGAATTGAAGCATTCTGTGCTGGGTCCTAATGACCACCAGAGGGTATGTGCCACCTTCCTGGATATGGCAGTGTCATAATCCTGTTACGGTGGAGTGATAATGCTAACATGTTGTCTGTGTGCAGCCTCTAATGCTAATGTATTATCCATAGTAGCCTTTGATGCTATTGTGACCATATGTGGCCTCTAATACAAATATAGTGTCCATAGAGTAGCCTTGAACACTAATATAACAGCTTCCATATTAATATAATGTCCACATCATGGCCTCTAATACTAAAATAATATTCACAAAATGACGTAAAAAACTAATATAATAGCTGCCCTGTGGTCTCTAATCCAAATATAATATACATACTATAACATCTAAAGCAAAATAGTATCTCCCTGTGATCTTTAATACTAATATGAAATCCATAGTGTAGCACCTAAGGCTAATATAATAGCTGCCCTGTGTCCTTTCATGTTTTTATGGTATCCATAGCTATTATGGTTTAGATATGAGTTATCCTTTAAAAAACTCATGTGAGTCAATGAGATAAAATTTAAATGTGTAATGACTGGATCCTGAGAGCATTAACCTACATCAGTGCACCAACTTAATGAAAGCATTAACCTAATTATCCACTGATAGGGATTAACTGGGTGGTAACTGTAGGGTGTAACTGGACAAGGTGGGTAAATGGTGGCATTCCTTTGAGGTTAATATTTTGTCCCTGGGGAGAAGAGTGCTCTCTCTCTCTCTCTCTCCCCCCTCTCTCTCCCTCCCTCCCTCCCTCCCTCTCCTTGTTTGCCAGCTTTTCTTCTCTACAGTTTTGGCAATGATGTTCTGCTTCAATTTGGACCAAGAGCTCAGTGGTAGAGTGCTTGCCTAGCATGTGTGAGGCACTGGGCTCAATTCTCAGCACTGCATATAAATAAATAAAAGTCCATTGATTACTAAAAAAAAAAAAATTCTTTTAAATGAGCAATTGGGTTGTGTGTCTTTGTAGTGAGACCTCTGAAACCATGAGCAGCAAATAAGCTTTTCCTTTTTAAAATTTTTCTTCTCAGATCTTTTGGTCACAGTGGTGAAAAAGCTGACTAAATCAGTGAGTGGGTTTTTGCTATGAATAACCTATACGATTCAGTAGTCTTTGGAGATTTTTTTGGGGGGAGGAAGTTTGAAATATTTAGAGATAAAGCTGGGAAAGGTTTAGTATGCTGCAGGTGGAGCTTAATGAGGGATTCTGGTGGGTTCTCAGAAGTTTAAAATGCCAATAGGATTGTAAAAAACAAAGAATGGAGTTGTAAGGTTTCAGAGGAAGAGGGCTGTGTTGAAATACGACTAGAGGGCATTCATATTACACCCTTCTAGGAAGTTGTCTACATTTTGCCTGTGTCCTGAGACATTCTATGAGGTTGAATTAAAAGGTGATCAACTAATTAATCTGGCAAAGGAAATTTCAAGGCAACACAGCATTCAGGTAGTGAGATGGATATTGCTGGTGACCTTTAGTCAAATTTACTGTGGATCAGATCAGAAAGCAGAGCAGAAAGATTTTAACAATTTTCAGTTTACCCAGAAAAATGTAAAACTGGAGTGAAGGAAGTTGTTATTGTTCAGGACATTACCACCACTGCAGAGATGCTAAATTACTTTACCCAGAGACAATATAAAAGATGGCTTGTGTGCATCTTAGGAATTGAAAAGATCTCACCTATCTCTGGCTCAAGGTTATAAAAGTAAAAATTCTTTGAGACCATTTGTGCACCTGCTTGAACAAGGGGGTTGGGAAGTTGTTTCACCATGCCAGGCACTCAGAGGATACTACAGCCATAGTCATAGAAATCTTGCCTACTGGTTGAGATGGTAAAAGAACTTGGCATCAACCACATGGTGCTTTTTCTATTATCTTCTTTTTTTTTGATTGGGGGACATTGGAGTTAGGGAGTTATGGAGGCTTTCACTGAGATTTCAAAGGAAACCTGGGAGGCCAGGAAAATGGTTAGTTGCTGTGGGCAGCCTCTGAGAGTGTGATGTATGAAGTGAGAAGGCAGCTGGAACTGTAGTGGAGACCCCAAGATTAAAGATTGCGGCTCAGAGACACCAGGGCCTCCATGGCATAGATTCATAGCAGTTATGCTATTTGTTCACCCATTGAAGCACATCCTGATTGCTTAAGGTATTGGGGCATTGTGAATAGAACTACTATATGTAATTGCATGCTGTTATCTAGATATACATTTTTGAGGAAGTTGTCTATATTTTTAGGATTGTGTGGTGACACCATGTCTAACTTTAGGGAAAATGCCCAGTTTTTTGATAGTGTTGAACTGTTGTGTGCTCTTCCAGCAATGCACAAGAGTGCCTGTGGCTGCTCATCATCCTCATGGTTGATACTACACTTAGTAAAGACCTTAGCAGCTCAGTAGGTGTGCAGTGCACCTTGGGGTCTTAGTTTGTGCTTTCCTCATGACAGGTGATACTAAGAATCATTTCTATGCTTCTTTGCCATGTCGTATATTTCTTGTGAGTTGTCTGTTCATGTCTTTACCCATTATGTTTTCTTATTGTTGAATGTCTCAGTATATTTTTTACACAAGTTTGTTTTAGACATATATCTTCCAAAGATTCCCCCAGTGTTTGACTTGTCTTTTCATTTCCTTTATACGATTTTTTTTTTTACAGAGAAATTTACTATAGTCCACATCAGGTTTTCTTTCATGGATTTCTTGTTGTTATTGTTTGTTTGCTTGGTAGCTGGGATTGAACCCAGAGCTTAACCACTGAGCCACGTCCCCATCTTTTATGGATTTTTTTTTTGCAGGGGCTACATATCAAACCTTATCATGAAACATGTGGTCATGCATATCTTCTGGAGTTTTAGTGTTTCACATTTTAAATTCAAGTCTAGGGAGTATTTTGATAGGTTCTGGCATCCAGATATGTGGCTTCTTGAAGTGTATTCTTTTGCAGTCAGTGCTGTCTAGTCTAGGTTTATAAATAGCTTGTTGGGAATTTCTGGAATGCACTGAATCTTCAGATCAGATTTGAGATAATTTCATCTTAATTATATTGAGACCTGAGCAAAGACTATCTCTGCATTTATTTATATTTCATTTGATTTCTTTATAAACATTTCAAGATTTTCTGAAAGTATGGTTGTACTTTAAGATTTACATGTAAGTACTTCAAATTTGGGGTCTCTATTTTAAATATTAATGCTTTAAAATTTTTCTTATTCCAGTTTATAAATTTCACTGTTTCCCCTACATGATGGCTGAATTATAGGAAATCAGTGAAATTTTGTGTATGGGTCATGTACTTTGCTACTTGCTATCTCCATCCATTCTGATCAAGACATAGGATGGTAGGCTCTATTTCTTTTCAATTTCCAAAATCATGACCTGGAATAGCCAGAACTATGAATTTAAGAGCTTCATTGTGCCTAGCACAAGGGGGTGCAGCTCTGAACAGTGAACACCCAGCATCCTGCACTGCCCACAGTGGCCAGCAGGGGGCACTCAGAACAACTTTCTGTGATCAACTGCTTTTGGGGGCTGTGTTCTGTGCCCTAATCCAACTTCCTTCTTCTGGGGATCCACCTGAGAGATGCCACATCTAGGGACTCCTAGAGGCTCTATCTAAGGTGTAGACCAGAGGTTTTTTTTTCCATCTTTTTTTTTAAATCCTGGGGAGACACCTGGAAAGATACCATGGACTGGGGATGCCTGGTGGATATGTCTGTGGTGAGGACCAGAGCTTCCTTCTCCTTGGCACCTACCCATGGAGGCTCCACTGTGGATTCAGGATGACTGAGGTCCATGTGAGGAAAACATGAGGAAGAAGCTTCCTGTGCACTGCCTGGTGGGCTGAGAAGTAAGTTCTGCCATGTTCTTTACTTTCTCAGGTAATATTTTAGGAGAACTTATTTTACAACAGTATTTCTTACTGAGGCTTTGGCTGCTCATTATCATGGTATGTCAGTGTATTTTGTGTGGCTTGAGTGTCTGAGGACACAAATGCCCCCTCAAGATGATGCAGGGAGGACCCAGTGCCTGGAGTCTCACTGGGGCCTGAGGGTAAGGAATCATGAAAATGCAGCAAGAAGCTCTCAGGAGCCTCTAGGATGAGAGATGCAAAGAATATGATGGATTGTACTACCTGAATCCTGGGTAACTGCAGAATCCTCATTGCAGTTACCAGAGCCTTCTACAGTGAGGGCAACATAGGTCAAATGACAGACTGTGCTACCCATAATTCTTGGGGACCTGCAACTTGCAGAGACCTCTGCAGAGAGGGCTGTACTGACAAAAAAATCAAACTATGCTGCCAATTACTTTTGGGTGCCTGCTCTGCCCAGGAGCCTCTGGGGGTGAGAATTGTAAGGGCAGAATACCAGACTTCAATGCTCAGAATCTCTGGGGATGCCTGCATACCCTGTAACCCTGTAAGTCCCAGAGGATTTGGTGGTGATGGTTTTGTTGGTAGAGCTCACTTCCTAGAATCTCCAGGGTCCCAGGGAAAGCATGGGGTCTTCATCTCCTGTGATCCTCACCAGGAATGTGCAGGCAAACCCTAGACTGCATTATCCAGAACCCTCAGGGACTGCAGCTCCCAGAATCCTCTGTGGTGAGTGGGCAAACTATTGAACTGCATTAGTCACAATCCTAAGGGGGAATTTGAGTTTCAGAATTTTCTGCAGTGAGTAGGAAAAACACAGGACTGTATTATCCACAAATCTCGGTATCAGCAGCTCTCAGGATCCTCTGTTGTGAGGACTGTTGGACTGAGAGCTTAACTACAGTATCCAGAGTTCTTGGTGAGGTGTGTTTCCCAGGTGAGTATGCAGCCTGCAACTCCCAGAGGCCTCCCAAGTGAGAGTTGTGCATTATACAGGTCAGACTATACTACCTACAATTCCTGGGGACACACTGGTGAATGTGCTGCCTGCAATTCCAGGAGGCTTCCACAGTGAGGTCTTCAGTACCAAGTCAAGCATGTGGCCTTCAGTTCTCATGGCCCTTGCAGTAAGGGCATGTAGGCAAAACACTGGACTACCTTCTCCAGAATCCTCAGGGGGGAATCACAGTTCCAGGATCTGCAATAGTGAGGGCTACAGGGTAGGGAGCTGAACTACACTACCTAGAATTCTTGGACGTGCCCATGTCCATGTGGCCTGGAACTCTCAGAGGCTTCCACACTGAGGGCTATGGAGGCAGAAGACAGGACTATGCTACCCAGAATCCCTGGGGGCCTACAGCTCCCAGACACCTACCTTTTGAGTAGTGCTGGGGCAAGCTTTGTATTGCACTACACAGACTCCCAAGGGTGTCTAGGCAGGCTTGTGCTACACAGATCCCAGAGCTTTGATGGTGAAGTCCACTTAGGTAGGATGGACTGCGCAACCCAGAATAATCAATGGCCTACAGCTCTCAGAGACCTCTGCGGTCAGGGCTGACTGAGTAGAACTGACTACAATACTCAGAATTCCTGGATGCTCCAAGCTCTAAGTAGTCACTGTACAGTTGAACATAGCACCAGGCTATAATACCCATTATCCTTGGGGGCTTGCAGCTCCCAGAATCCACTGTAGTGATGCTGCATGGGCAGAACATCAGACTACACTGTCCAGAATCCCTAGGGATGCCTGAATGACTTTGTAGCCTGCAATTTCTAGAGAGTTCTGTAGGGGAGGGGGGGGCTGCATTGTAGAAGGCTGGTTTATACTGCCCAGAATCCTGGGTGGGTGTATGAGGGTGAATGTGCTACTTGAAGTCTCCATAGGCTTCTGGAGTGAGGGCTGAATGGGCAGAATGCCAGACTACACTGTTCAGAATCACTAGGGGTGCCTGAGTAGCCTGCAGCTCACAGAGACCTCTGCAGCTGGGCTGCATTGTAGAATACGAAACTGCACTACCCAGAATCCTGGCACTATGAGGGTAAATGTGCTACTTGCAACCCCTAGGCTTCTGGGGTGAGGGCTGCATGGGTAGAACACCAGAGTCCACTGCCAGGGTCCTCCAGGGTTCCTGGACCAGCACATGGCAAACAGCTTCCATGGTCCTGAAGGGCAAAGACAGTGTGGGTAGAGCACCAGACTACACTGTCCAGAATCCCTGAGAAGCCCATCTGTGTAGCTTGCAGTTCCCAGAGGCATCCATGGTGAGAGCTGTATAGGCAGGACAGACTGAATGACCTGGAATGCTCCCACAGGCTACTGGGAATTTGGTCTGAGCTCAGGTTCTTCTACCCTCCTACAGTGGTCATCCTGGGCTGGGAATTAACAGATTTTCTTAAAATCCCTGATTCTAAAATGGGACAGACCCTGGCTAAGTCACTGTCTCAAAGACTACATGTCCCAGAAGCCTTTGAGGTGGTCTCTGCCCTTGGGCACCTGCGTGAGGGTCTAGACTCCCTGTGGAAGCCTCCCTCTGTGCCTCTTCCCACCTGGCTCAGGCTGCTGCAGCCCTTGGCCTGGTGGAGTGCAGGGAGGGGGTCTCCTGGACTCCATTTCTCCTCTCCTGAGATTCCACTACTCATGGTGCCACAGCCAGACCTAGTTACAGCAGTGGGAACAGATTTTATTCAGTAACGGCTGAGGGTGGAAGAAGGCACTGACATTCACCAGGGAGCTGGGTGAGGCCCCGCCTCTGAGCTGTGAGCAGCTTGGGGCTGGAGCACCTGCGCGTGGCCAAAGGGGCGTGGTCAAGAAGGGGCAGGGCCTCGCCGCCATCTTTAATGCTGCCTCCCTGAGAGTGAGGAGAGCTGGCTTCCCACTCAGGACCAACCCTGGAGAGCCCCAGTTCACTGGAGTGTTGGGTCACTCCACAGAGAGGGGCAGAGCTCCCTTCTCAGAGCAGATTGAGAGAGAGACACCCAGGTTGGGGACCCTCGTGGGTCATGCCTCCAGGGACTCCCAGAGCTTCCTTCTCCTCAGAGAAGCCTCAGCGGACTCTTGGCTTAGAGACTTCGTGAGTCATGGCTCTAGGAATGCCTGGGGTTTCTTTGTCCTCAGAGCAGCCTAAGGGGGACACCTGTCTTGGGGATCCTCGTGTGGCATGTTTCTAGGGTTTCCTGAGGGAGATACCAGGGTTGGGAACCCTCACAGGTCATGTCTCTAAGTAGGCCTGGGGTTCCCTTCTCCTCAGAGCCGTCTGGAGGAGATGCCAGTGTGGGGACTCTCTTGGGTCACGTCTCTAGTGACGCCCGGGGTTCCTTTCTCTTCAGAGTTGTCTGAGGAAGACTCCTGGTGTGGGGAGCCTTGTGGTTCGTGTCTCTAGGGACACCTGGTGTTCCATTCTCCTCAGAGCAGCCTGAGGGAGATGCCTGGTGTGGGGCAGCTCTATTTTGTATTATAGAGATAGGGTTTCACTGAGTTGCTTCGTGCCTTGCTTTTGTTGAGACTGGTTTTGAACTCAAGATCCTTCTGCCTCAGCCTTCTGAGCCACTTAGGTTTAAATATATTACTTCTAACAAAGCCAGAATTTATTAAAAATACAGGGGATGTATTAAAAATACATCCCCTGTATTTTTAATAATGAACCACATTTTTTCTTTAATCTTTGCTTAGTTTTGTCCAATTTTTTTTTTAGTTGTAGAAGGGCAAAATACATTTATTTTATTTATTTTTATGTGGTGCTGAGGATCAAACCCAGTGCCTCACACATGCTAGGCAAGCACTCTACCACTGAGCTACCACTGCCACACATTTTTATTTTGGTGGAGAGTTTAATTAGCAAAAAGCCACCCCTCCAGGACCCTCTTGCTAAGGGACCCTCGTGGGTCCTGCCTCTTCTCCAGACCCCACCCATATTCTTTGGCCCTGCCTGTCCTCCTGAACCACCTTCCCCCTCCTTCCTACCCTGCCTCTCTACATCCTACTCATGTTCTAGGGCCTGTCCCTCCCTCAGGTCTCACCCATCTGCCAGGCCCTGCCCCCTTGTAGCTCATTATCCCTCTCCTTCAGACCGTTTCTCCTCCAGATTTTTCCCTTCTTCCTGTCCTGCCCCTCCTCCAGACCTCACCGTCCTCCTCTTTTTTTTTAATTGCACGTGGACACAATGCCTTTATTTTGTTTATTTATTTTTATGTGGTGCTAATGTTTGAACCCAGTGCCTCACACATGCTAGGCAAGCCCTCTACCACGGAGCCATAACTCCAGCCCAATCATCTTCCTCTTTAAGACCCTGCCTCTTCTCCAGACCCCACCCATCTTCCAGGCCCCCTCCTCCTCCTGACATTCCCTCCACCTCCTCCAGACTCTGTTCCTTCTAGTCTAGGATGAGCAGCTCCCTTGCTGCTGTGCTAATTGGCAGTATATTTGTAATGGTGCACAAATAATGTCCGTTGTGTAAACACTGACATCCTGCATTGGATGAATTATCTTGACTGAATCAGAATGCGATATACCATAAAATAACTTTAGAAATGTCACTTTTCTCTTTTTTAATTTTCTCTGTAGATCATGAACATTTGAAATAAAATCAGAATTTGTTAAAGGGCAGATGACAGTCAGCCTTGAGCCCTGATGATCCCAGGATCCTATCCAGTGGGGGAACTCTAAGTACCAGTCCAAGGTTTTGTATGCTAATTGTTTCATTTTCTTATTTCAGAGTTATTTTGTAATGTAATTCCCCATGGCCTCCAGGTCTCCAGTTCTGTGCAGTAGGTGTTTCTAATTCAATTTTTGATTAATATTCTTTCAGTTTTCTATAGAAATTTTAAAATATTTTTTTTAGTTGTCAGTGGATCTTTTTATTTTATTTATTTATTTTGTTTATTTATATGTGGTGCTGAGGATTGAACCCAGGGCCTGACACATGCCAGGCAAATGCTCTGCCTTTGCACCACATTCTAGCCCTTTATAGAATTTTTAATTCTGTGGACTTCTATTTTTTTATAAGGAATATTTTAAAAATTACTTTTACCTTACTTTGTTTTTGATTGAGAGAAGTTTGATTCTGAGAGTCTCAAGTGTTTTAGGTCCAACATGTTTCCTTAAGAGGAATAATTATTCATTTTCTATTTGATTACACAAATTCTTTTTTTTTTCCTTTTGTGGTTCTGGGGCTTCCTGCATGCTAGGAAATCTTTCTACCACTGATCTACATCCCCAGCCCCATAGATCCTTTAGTTATCATTAGCTTCATGATGAGCTAGTGACAATAAGATTACTTAGAATTTCAACTAGATTTATACTCATGCAAGAGTTTGGGCATCCATAGCTCCCTGTGATTTCTAAAAGGTAGAGTTTCCCACAACACAGCAGCATCTAATATCACTCCGGGACTGATCTGACACCTCTGCTTCTCTTGTCTCACCACTTCCTGTAGAGGTCTTGGAGGAAATGGATGTTCTTTGACTATTTGTCCCAGTGACAAATATTTGATTATATTGCTGCTAAAATGTATGCATAGAAATAAAATAGAGACATTTTTTATAAAGTCACTCTTTCAGGAAAGTTAAATCATGAGTTGAAATAAAATCTCCAAAATGTCATTTTTTCCTGTGTAGTGATCACGTTTTAAGAAGGAAAACCTAGAACCTAGTGACAGCATAAAAATATAATAAGTTAACATATGTTATTACTTCAACATGAAATATGTAAAAGGGGCATATACTTTGAAGTTTTAAAAAAAAATTTTTTTAGTTGTAGTTGGACACAATGCCTTCATTTTCATTTATTTATTTTTATGTGGTGCTGAGGCTCAAACCTAGCACCTCACACATGCTAGGTGAGTTCTCTATCACTGAGCTACAACCCCAGCCCACATACTTTGAATTTTATATAATATCTGAATTTTGGTCCTTACTACTAATATCCACAGTATAGCATCTAAAAGTAATAAAATATGTGCCCTGTGTCCTATAAATGTCATATGATAGCCATACTATAGCATCTAAAACTAATATAATGGCTGCCCTGTAGCCTTTGACTTTAGTATAATATCAATACTTTGTCCTCTGAAACTAACAGAAAAGCTGTCCTGTAGCCTTTTAATACTAATTTTATCCATATGTAGCATCATTATAGTCTCCATGTAGCCTTTTATTCTAATATTATATTCATACTGTAGACTCTAAAATAAATAAAATAGCTTCCTTTTTGCCTTCAAGGGTAATATGATATGCTCTATGGTACCTAGAAAATATTATAATAGCTTCCCTGTGGTCTTTAATACTAATAATATCCATGCTATAGTACCTAATACTAATAGGTGCCTGTTGTGTTTAATATTAAAGATGTCCATACTATACCTTCCAAAAACTAATATAATAGCTGCTCTGTGACCTGTAATATTAACACAATATCCATACTGTAGCATCTAAAACTGGCATAATAGCTGCCTTGTAGCCTTTAATATTGAGATAAAAACTGTGGCCTCTGAAATTAATGTAATAGCTTCAAGTGATGTTTTAATACTGATAGTGCATACATACTATAGCACCAAAAACTGATAATACAGCAGCCTTGTAGAATTTCATAGTCATATAATAATTATAACAGAATATAAAACTTTAATATTAATAAAATATACTGTTGATCTAAATCTGATGAAATGGCTGCCTGTAATCTATAATAACCATAAAATATCCATACCAAAGCTTCTAAAACTAGAATAATAGTGCCCTGTGGCCTTTAATGTTAATAGGTATTCATACTACAGTATTTAAAGCTGATACAATAGCTGAATTGTGGTCTTCCATATCAATGCAATGTCAATATTATAGCATATTGAACTAATTTAGTAGCTTCCCTATGACATTTATATGCCAATATAATATCTAACCTGTTCACTTTAATACTAACATATTTGTACTGTAGCCTCTGAAACTGATATAATAGCTAATTTATATCTAAAACTAATATAGTAGCTGCCCTGTAACTTTAAACCTATTACAATTTTTATAGTATAGCATCAAAATTAATATAATAGCTTCCCAGTGGCTTTTATATTAATATGATATCTGTGCTACAGTATATCCAATACTAATAAAATAGTGGCACTGTGGCTTTAAATACCAATATGATATCCATGCTACTGCAACTCAAACTAACATAATAGATGATTTGTGTCTTTTAATCTTACTATAATATCCATATAATAGCATATATTGTATAATAGATGATTTCTGGCTTTAAATATTAATATTATATCCATAATATAGCATCTTAAATTAATATTACATATGTCCTGTGTCCTTAGGACAAATATTATATCCATACTGTTGGATTTAAAACTAGTATAATAGATACGTTGTGGACTTTAATACTAATATGATATCCATACCGTAGCTCCTCAACTTAATATAGTAGCTGCCTGGGCCCTTTAATATGATATGTAATATGATAAACATATTGTGCTCTTTAAAACTAAAGTAATAACTGCTCTGTGGCCTTTAGTGCTAATATAATATACCATGAAAAACTAATGTTATAACATCCTTGTGTCCTTTAATATTGATAGTATAGCATTCAAAACTAATATGATAGCTGCCCTCTAGACTTTAATATCATAATATTCATACTTTGACCTCTAAATTTAATACAATAGCTGTCTTGTGGCCTTTATTACTGTTTTTTTATTCATACTATAGCATGGAAAACTGATTAAATAACTGTTCTGTGGCCTTTAATATTAATACGATTTCCATATTATAGCAAAAAAATTATATCGGAGGTCTTTATTACTAATAGATGCAAACTATAATATCTAAAACAAGTAAGTAGCTGTGCAATAGAATTTAATACTAAGTGACATCCATACTAAAGCATATTAAACTAATAGCTCCCCTGTAGCTTTTGATACTAATATTATAGCCTCCAAAACTGATGTAATAGATGTCCTGTGGCCTTTAATATTAATGTTACATCATTCCTATAACCTGTGAAGCCAATTTAATAAGTTTCTTATGAAATTTAATATTCATTTAATATACATATTATAAATATAAAACTGATAAATACGTGCTTCATATAAAACTGGTAAATAGGTCCTATAGTATTAATATGATATTGTATCACCTTAAACTAATATAATATCAGCTTTGTGGCCATTAAACTAATATGATATTTATAGGATAGTGTTAAAATCAATATACTGCCATGTTGACTTTAATGCTAACATGATATCCATACTTGAGTATCTAATAGTACATAATTATTGACCTGAAGTGTTTAATTTTAATATGATATTCATATTGGAACATCTGAAACTGATGCAACAGTTGTCCTGTGGCCTTTGATATTTATATGATATCCATCCTATAGTATCCAAAGCTAATAAAATATATTAGCTACCCTGTGGCCTTTAATATTAATATAATATCCATACTGCAGCATTTAAAATAATAGATGCACTGTGGCCTTAATACCAAATAATTGGTTTGGATATGCTCATGTGTGAGACAATTTAAGGAAGTTTAAAGGTGAAATGATGGGTTATGAGAGCCTTAACCCAAATTAGTAATCCTCTGAAGGAATTAACTGAGTGGTAACTGCAGGCTGATAGTGTGTAGCTGGAGGAGGTGGGTCATTGAGGCTGTGCCTTTGGGGTACATATTTGATGAGCTGAGCTTAGGTTCTCTGCTTCCTGATCACCACTTTCCTTCACCACATTCTTCTGCCCCACCTTAAGCCCCAAGGAATAGAGTTGGCCATCTATTGGCTGAGATCTCTGAAACTGTGAGCCCCTAAATGAACTTTTCCTCCTTTAAAATTGTTCTTGTCAGGTCCTTTGGTCAAAGCAGTGAAAAAGATGACTGAAATAATAACATACATGTCATAGATCTAAAACAAATACAATAGTTGCCCTGATGCCTTTAATACTAATATGATATTAAGAGTGTAACATCTAAAACTGATATATAATAGTTTCCCTGTGACATTTAATGTTAATATAATATTCATGCCATAACATCCAAAACTAACATTATAGCCTCCCTATAGCCTTTTATACTAAAGTAATATCCCTATTATAACATTTCAATCTAATATAATATCTTCCCTGTGGCCCTTAAAGCTAATGTAATACATAATATTGCATCTAAAATTGATATAATAGCTGCTCTGTATCCTTTAATATCAATAGACATCCTTATTATAGCATCTTAACTTGATATAATAGTTGCTCTTTGGTCTTAATATTTATATGATACCCATAGTAGCATCTAAAACTGATAAAATATTAGCCCTGTGGCTCTTATAGGTAATATGATACCCAAACTATAACTCCTAAAACTAATCTAATAGCTAGACTGTGGCATTTAACATTAATAATTTATCCATATTATGCACTCTAAAACTAATAAAATAGGCTTCTTGTCATTTTAAGTGAAATATCCATATGATAGCAATAAACCTTATAATATAGCATATCCATATGATAGCATATAAAGTTAACATAATAGCTGACCTCTGGCATTTAATAGTAATCTCTTGGGCTGGGGATGTGGCTCAAGTGGTAATGCACTAACCTGGCACTGGGCTCGATCCTCAGCACCACATATTATTTTATAAAGATTTCAGTTGTGTCCACTGAAAACTGAAAAATAAATAATAAATAATAAATATTAAAAATTCTCTCTCTTCCCTCTCTCTCTCCTCTCTTTCCTTCTCTCTTTAAAAAAAAATAGTAATCTGTTATCCAAAGTATAGTACCTAAACTAATATAATTCCTTATACTAATAAGATAGTCATCACATAGCATATAAAACTAATATAATAACTGAACTTTGGAGCTTTAATATTAATGTAATATGTATACTACAACATCTCAAATACTGAAAGAGCATCCTTGTGCATCCTGTGCATTTGCCATTAATATTTTATCCATACTGTGGCCTGTTAATGGAATATTATAGCTCTTTGTGGCTGTTCATATTAATATCCATTCAATAGCATCTAATGCTAATATAATAGATGCCCTATGGCCTTTAATACTAATTCAGTATCAATACTGTGACCCCTAATACTAAAATAATAATTCTCCTGTGGCCTTTTAATATTACATAAAGTTCATTTATAGCAATTATATGAATATAATTCCTGCCCTATGGCGTTTAGTACTAATCTGATATCCATATCATAGCATCTATTAATGATCTAAAAGCAGTCCTCTTACCTTTGTACTGTTATGATATTCATATTATAGCATCTAAACTAATATAATTGTTCTCTTATGACCTTTAATTCCTATATATTTACCATAGCATCTAAATATAGTATAACATCTTTGTAGCTTTTAATACTAATGTAATGTTCTTACAATTACATCTAAAAGTGATATAATAGCTACCATGTGGTCTTTAATACTGATATTATATTCATGTTAGATCATTAAAAACTGATAGAGTAGCTTCCCTGTGGCTTTATTAGTAATATGACGTTCTTATTACAGCATGTAAAATTGATATGATAGCTGCCTTTAATATTTATATGATATCCATTATATAGTGTCCAAAGCTGATATAATATCTGCAATGTGCATTTCACAGGTAATATGACATCCTTACTAAAGCATTTAAGAACATTATAAGCCAGGCTCAGTGGTACATGCCTGTAATCCCAGTGGTTTGGGAGGCTGAGACAGGAGAATTGTGAGTTCAAAGCCAGCCTCAGCCACTGTGAGGCATTAAGCAACTCAGTGAGACCCTGTCTCTAAACAAACTACAAAATAGGGCTGATGATGTTGCTCAGTGGTCAAGTGCCCCTGAGTTCAATCCCTGATAAATAAATAAATAAATATGTAAGTAAATAAATAAAATATAATAGCTGCATAATGGTATTTAATACTATTATTATATCTATATTATAGTATTGAAAATGAATATTATAGCTTCTCTGTGGCCTTTTGTATTAATGTAACCATAGCATTGCATTGAAAACGGATATAATAGCAGCCCTGTGGCTTTTAATTCTATTGTGATATACATGTGGCATCTAAAACTGATATAAGAGCTGTCTTATTGCCTTTAATACTCATATAATATCCGTATTGTAGCATCTGAAAATAATTAAAAAAACTACACAGTGGTGTTTTATGCTAATATGATATCCCTAGTGTAGAATCCTTACTAAAACAATAGGTGCCTTATGGCCTCTAATACTATTATTATATTCATAGTGTGCCTTCTGAAATTGATTTAATAGCTGCACTGTCACTTTTAATATTTCTATGATATTCATACTATTGATCTAAAAGTAATATCTATTCTGTGAACTTTGATGCTAATATGATATCATACTATAGCATTCAAAACTAATATACTGGCAGTCCATTGTTGATTAAAATTAATATATTATTCACATTATATAATCTAAAGGTAAAGCAATTGCTGCCCTGTGATCTTTAATACTATTATAATACCCATACTATAGCATCTAAAGCTAATATAATAGCTATACTGTGGCCTTTAATATTACTGTGATATCCTAGTATGGCATCTAAAACTAAATACAACTACCTTTTTGCCTTTAATTGATATAACATTAATATTGTAGCATCTATTTTTTTATTAATGTAATATTCATATTTAACATAAAAAATTAATAACTTCCCTGAGGCCTTTAATATTAATATATGTACTATAGCATCTAAAAATAATAAAAGTAATCAAATACGTGTTCTAGTGCCCTTTATATTAATATGATGTTGATATTATACCATGTAAGCATGACATAATAGCTTCCCTATGGTCTTTAATAATAATGTGATATTCAGGGGCTGGGGTTGTAGCTCAGTAGTAGACTGTTTGCCTAGCATGTGTGAGGTGCTGGATTCATTCCTCAACACCACATATAAATAAATAAATAAAGTGCATCAAAACCTAAAAATATTAAAAATAATAATAATGTGATATCCATACTATAGCATGTAAAACAAATGTAATAGCTGTCTTCTCCTTAATATACTGTCAATATTATAGATTCTAAAACTAATATGATAGATGCCATGTGGTCTTTAATATAAATGAACTATTCATACTATACCATATTAATATATATAATATATGTCGTATTGGCCTTTAATACTAATGTGATAACCATATTTTGCATCTATTACAAATATAGTAGCTGCCACATGGCCTTTAATAATAATATGATATCTGTAGGAGCTGGATTTATACCTCAGTGGTAGAGCATTTGCCTTGCACATGTGAGGCAATGGGTTTGATTCTCAGCACCACATAAGATAATAAAATAAAATAAAGATATTGTGTCCATCTTTAAAAAAAGAACACCTTTTAATTTGTTCAGAGTCAAATTAAATGTGTGAGTCAAACTGGAGCTTAGGAAGGTGTGATTGTTAAAACATCATGACCACTAAAGAGATGCTAAATACTTTGCCCAGAGACAATAGGAAAGAAGACTTGAGTGCATCTCAGAAATTGGCAAAACCACCCCAGTTTCAGGCTCAAAGATTTAATTTTTCTTTTTCTTTTTTTTTTTTTGTACCAGAAATTGAACCCAGAGGTACTTAACCACTGAGTCACATCCTCAGCCTTTTTAAATATTTTATTTAGAGACAGGATCTCATTGAGTTGCTCAGGGCCTTGCTAAATTGCTGAGGCTGACTTTGAACTTGCAATCCTCTTGCCTCAGCCTACTAAGCTGCTGGGATTACAGTCAGGCACCATCTTGCCTTGCTCAAAGTTTTAAAAATAAAAATTCCTTTGAGAAGAGATCAGTGAGGCATCATGATTGAAGAGAGAGGCCTAAGAGGTTATTTCACCATGCTTAGCTGCCCAGGCACTCAGAGGTTGCTGTAGTCATGGTTTTAGGAGGTTTGTCTACTGCTTGAGATGGTGGCAGATCTTGGTATCAACTACATGGTGCTGGTTTTTTAAGTTTGCAAGACATTGGCATTAGGGGGTCATGGAGGCTCCCACTGTGATTTCAAAGGACAACCTGGGAGGTCAGGAAAAATGTATTAGAGTTGGAATACCATCAGGCAGCCCCTGAGAGGATGAAGAAAACTATAGTGGGGACTCCTGAGATTAAGAGATGCTAGTAACATGGATAATTTTCCAAGGAAACCCATAGGAATTGAACAAACACAAGTCAAGCTAGGCCATGTGGACCTCTATTAACAAAGCCATAGGAGTGGAGATGCACAAGTCCTTTGGAGAGAATATCACAATGTTATTTGCCCCAAATATGCTTGATGTGGAACTACAGATCTTGTTTGCCCAGCTGGATTTTGGTCTTGTTTTGGTCCCATCTCTTCTTTCTATGTCCCTGTTTATCACTTGTAGAATGGAAATGTTTAATCCATGCCATTATATATTGGATTATATAGCTTGCTTTGATTTTTATGGGGTCTCATGCTGAGTTTTCCTTAAGTTTCAGAAGAGGTTTTGGACTTAGACTTTTAGGTAATACTGGAACTGTTAAGAACATGTGGACTCCTGGATATGAACTCAATGTATTTTGCATCATGAGATGGACATGAACTTTTGGGGGCCAAGGGCAGAATGTTATGGTTTAGATATGAAGTGTTACTCTAAAACTCGTGTGTGAGAAAAGGCAAGAAAGATTTAAAGGTGAAATTATTTGGTTATGAGAGCCTTAACTAGTGAGTGCATTAATCCACTGATAGTGTTTAACTGGATGGTAACTGTAGGAAGGAAGTGTGTAGCTGGAGAAGGTGGGTCACTGGGGGCATTTCTTTGGAGTATATATTTGTCTCTGGTGAGCATAACTCTCTGCTTCCTCTTTGTCATGTTCTGATTTGCTTCCTACCTCTATATCGTTTGGTCAAGAGCTGTGGAGTTGGTCTTCTATGGACTGAGACATGGAAAATATAAGTGTCAAATAAAATTTTAATTCTCTAAAAATTGTTCTTGTCAGGAATTTTTGACACAATGGCAAAAAAGCTTACAAAAACAATACTGTACTATCTAGAAATAATATAATAGTGGCCCTTTGGCCTCTTATATCAGTAATATAGCATCTAAAATTAATAGTTACCCTGTGGCATTTAATCATATTATGATATAAATACTATAGCATCCAAAACTTAGATAATACCTGCAATGGCCTTTAATACTACTATGATATCCATGATAATGCAAGTAAAACTAATATTATAGCTTCTCTGTGGCCTCTGATATTAATGTAGTATCAATAATGTGGTCACAGGGTAGCTATTATATTACTTTTATAGATCATTGTATGGATATTAATATTAAATGTAAGGAAAATAAAAAGAGACATAGAGAGAAGATGCAGAGTCAGAATGACAGAATGGCAGAATGGTCAAGCTGCCAGCTTTATTTATATCAATAGGTTGCATTAGGTCATTGGCATCAGTAATATACTAATGTTTATTGTGTTATTTGGAAGGTTATAGAGTTAGCATCGTTATGCAGCTTATTCCTCAGTTACATTCTACAGTTACAATATGCAATGTTAGAAGCTTTGTGTAGCTATCAATAAAGTTTGTTGTTTACAGTTACTGTTAGATGGACAGGTCCAGGAGCATGGGAGCTTGGTGAAACATTTTTATTGTATAACAAGAGTGTTTCTTTATTCCCAGGAGCTGTGTGCCTGAGATCAAGGCCAAAGCTGATAAGACTCCAGCACAAAGCCTTCTAATGCAGGACATTGCTATAGCAGGTAGGCATCCCGTGTCTTTGCACAGAAGTTTTCCTAGCATCCAGGCATTCCACATCTTTGCACAGAAACTTCCTAGCCACCAAGTATGCCACATTCATGAAGCCATCAGAGACCCCAGTCCCAAACACAGAACCCTTACAATTAAGGCCAAAGGGAAGCTGTTATATCAGTTTTACATGCTATAATGTGGACATAATATTAGTTTTAAAACTGAAGAGCTGCCTGTGACCTTTTAATACAAACATACTATGAAATTATAATGAATATAATAGCTCTTTTGTGGACTGTATAACTAATATGGTATCCATATTAAGGCATCAAAAACTGACATAGTAGCTGAAATGTGTAATTTAGTGTTAATATTATATCCATACTATGGACCTAAAACTAATCACATACCTTTCCTGTGGTCTTTCATTTTAATACAATATCCATATTATAGCATCTAAAACTAATATAATAGCTGCCCTGTGGCTTTTAGAACTAATATGATATCCAAATTATAACATTTGCCAAGGACCCTTAATATTAATATGATATTGATAAACTAGCATCTAAAACTAATAAAATATTTGCCTGTGACCTTTAATACTAATATGATATTCACATATACCACCTAAAGCAATATATTAGCTTGCCTATGGCCTTAAATATTAATATAATATTCATACTGTGACATAAAAAACTATATAATAGCTACCCTGTGAATTTTTTAAAATATTGTTTTAGTTGTTGATGGACACAATTCCTTTACTTTATTTATGTTTTTTAATGTGGTGCTGAGGATTGAACTCAGTGCCTCACATGTGCTAGGCAGGCACTCTACAAATGAGCCACAACCCCAGACCAACTACCCTTTGACTTTAATAATAATATAACATCCATAACTTTTAATAATAATATAACCCATAAAACTAATATTGTAAATTCCCTGTGTATTATATTAATATAATCATTATATTATCATTATATTATTATTAATTATTATATTAATATAACATCCTTGGTATAGTATCTAAAACTGAATAGCTCTTCTATGGCCTTTAATACTAATAAAACATCCATACTATAGCTGTTAAAAGTGGCATAATAGTTTTCTTGCAGCCTTTTATAGTATACTAACATGATATCCATACTCTACCATCTAAGTATAATAAAATAGCTTCCCTGGAGTCTTTAATAATAATGTAATATAGTACTACAGCATCTAAAACAAATAGAATAGCTGCCATGTGGCCTTCAATACTATCTTATTCATATTATTAGATAATACTGACAAAATAGCTGCACTGTGGATCTTTAACACAAACATGATAGCCATATAATGGCATGTAAAACTGATACAACAGCTGTCCTGTGACCTTTAGTACTAACTTTATCCATATGATAGCTTTGAAAATTGATATATTACCTGCCTGTGGATTTAGTGTTAATATTTTATCCTTACTATGGCATCTAAAACTAATTTAATAGGTTCCCTGTGGATTTTAGTACTAATATAATATTCATATTATAGAATCTAAATCTAATACAATATCTGCCTTGTGATCTTTAATACTAATAAGATATCCATACAATAGAACCTAAAATTAATATTATAGGTGTCCTGTGGGCTTAAATACTGATATGATATTCATATTATAGCATCAAAATTGAATATAGTAACTGCCTGTGTTTTTTAATTCTAATATGATATGCATATTATTGTATCAAAACCTAAGATAATGTATGCCATGAAGCTTTTAATAATAAGATATTCATATTATAGTATGTGAAATGAATAGCTGCACTGCCTCCTTTATTACTAATATAATACTCATCCTTTATCATCTAAATCTGATATAATAATTGCCTTGTTGCCTTTATTACTAATATAATATATAATAATATCTAATTACTACTAATATAATATCCATAAAATAGTGTATAACTGTAATGTAATAGCTGCAAAGTGGCTTTTATTATTAACTCAAACTCCATTCTATAACTCCTTAAACTAGTAGCTTGTTGTGGCCATTAATATTTATAAAAGAAGTATCCTGTGGCTTCTAGTACTAATATAATAGGTAGCCTTGAATATTAATATAATATCCATATTATGAACTCAAAAACAAATATACTAGCTGCCCTGTGATCTTCAATATTAATATACAATCTGTACTATAGCATATAAAACTAATATCATGGCTGCTTTGTGGTCTTTAACTAAGATGATATCCAAACTAAAGCATTTGAAGCTTACATAATTGTTGCCCTTTGGCATTTCATATTAATAGTATATCCATAACAGAACATCTAGAACTAATATACCTTTAATACTAATACTGTATTTCCATTTGTATTAAAGATTACATTATGTATGTTATATTAATATTAAAGGCCACAGTTCAGCTATTCTATTGGTATTAAATGTGACTGGGTGGGTGTGTATATACTAATATTTATGACCTCTAATACTAAAATAAAATCCAAAATATAGCATTGGAAACAGACATAATAGTTTCCCTATGGCCTTTAATACTAATATAATGTACATATCAGAATATCTGAAACTGATATAATGACTACCCTGTGCCTTTAGTATTAATATGATATTCACACTATATCATTTAAAGCTAATGTAATAGCTGCTCTGTGTTTTCCAATACTAACATGATATTCACATCATATCATCTAAAACCAACATAACCACTGCCTTGTGCCTTGAATACTAATACAATATTCATGCTATACCCAATAAAATAATGGCTACCCTTCAGCCTTTAATAATAATATGATGTGAGTATACTAGCATCTAAAATTGATAATAGCTGCTCCATGGCCTTTAATATTGATATAACATCCATACTTGGCTTATGAAACTAAAATAATAGCTGTCCTTTGTTCTT